GCCCAGGCAGTGTACTTCCAGTGTTACCTACTCCATTATTTTACCTACTCCATTATTTTGTCTTGAGTCACTCAATTATTGTGCTGCTGAAGTCAAATAGATATGTGGCCATGGCAGCCTACGTTCTCCTACTCCATTATTTTGTCTCGAGTCACTCAATTATTGTGCTGCTGAAGTCAAATAGATATGTGGTCATGGCAGCCTACGTTCTCAAAAAAAAAGTAAGTTTCTAGCCCTTGTGACTGCAGAGAAAGCTTCAAAATGTGACCCCAGTGCACTCTAAAGGCTCAACAAAAAGCAAATAAAAAAGTACACCACATCTATTATTTTTACCTAATCTAGTTATTTTAAAGCCAATCTCATGATTTTTGAACATTTAGGGTTGGCAATACTGCAACGAGACACGCTTACAGACTTCCCCTTCGGTGTCCCCCTGAGCAAGGGGAGGGAAACAGATGCTATTCCCTGACCACGCGAAGGAGAAAAGGCCTTGGAAGCAGCCAGGAGTGGCAGAAGAGATAAGGAATGGGGTAGTGACAGGAAGCAGAGATCACTAGTGTGTGTGTGGGGGGCGCACAATTTGAGAGGATTGATTTTTGTGGGCGTGGCAGAGCCAGGTGCAGCAGAGGGTTATGTGAGAGATTTGGGTTTACATAAACGACTCTAATCAGCCTCTCCCATCCTCTTTCATCTGCAGCTTTCCATACTAATCCTGTTCAGATCCTTCCCAAGCCATCAATGGTGTCTTCTCCTCCTCCTGCCTATGGATTGCAGAGAGGCCTCTGGGAGTATTCTACACTACAGCAGGGAGTGAGCCTCCCAGCCTGGGTAGAGGGACTCATACTATGAGGCTTGAGCTAGGACACTGAGGATAGCAGTGTGCACTTTACTGCTCCTCACCAGAACTCAGACATGGGGATGGGTGGGCTTGAAAGCCTGAGCTGCTTCCTATTTGCAGTGCCAGCTCAAGTCTGAGGCTAAGCTGTGACCTACCAGGTGCCAGAGGGATCCCCGTAGGTGCCTGGGAGGAGGAACTACGACTCTGCTCCTCTGTGCTGCTGAAGGTCACTCACCGAGTTCACACTATGCAAGATGCACTCAGCATGGAGTGAATAACACAGAGAGGGGAATTGACTGGCCCCAGGATTGGTAGTAGCTGCAGGTTTGAGGGCTCCCAATGGTCTCCCACAGCCAGGGAATAGCTCCTTCTCTCCTGGCCCAGTGAGAGCTTTGCACATCCTGTGAATGCCAAATGAGGGCAAGTGACATCACTTTACTGCTCCGCTTCATGAGCACCTTAGAGCTGGTGCACAGCGTACATCATTCGTCATGCCATTGCTGTTTTTAGGCCTACTGTGTATTTTATAGTGAGTGGCTGTTTCATTGGAACAGCTTCAGACTTTTTCATCACTTGCTTATTTTGCGTCCTATGAGAGTGCAGCTCAGGCTGCAGGGACAAAGGTGCAAAACCAGAGATGGATCTTTCTCAATTCTATGCCAAGTACAGTGCACATATCACCATTTCCCGGTGATTCTGCTTTTTCCCCAATTTAAAACAGAACCCCCCAGGATTATTTACCTGTTCACAAGAGAATTTTGACACAATCACAGAAATGTAGGATTTGTAGAAACCCCAAGAAGCCATCAAGTCCAGCCCCCTGCACTGCAGGGAGACCAAGTAAACCTGGCCCATCTCTTCAGGTGTGTGCAACCTGTACTTAAAAACCTTGAATGATGGGGATTCCATATCCTCCCTTGGTAGCCTGTTCCAGTGGCTACCTATATGGTTAGAAAGCTTTCCCTAATATCTGCCCTAAATCTCCTTTGCTGCAGATTTAGTTCACTGCTTTGTGCCCTACCCTTCTATAAGGTAGCCAAAACCCAATTGTTTCTATAAACAAAACACAATAGATCACAGCCCTTGCAAAACAGCCTTTAACACTTTTAAAAACTTATTTGATTCCCCTCTTCCCCATCATCTTAAAATAAAACTAGTTATATGTTGAAGAAACTTATTTGATTCCCCTCTTCCCCATCGTCTTAAAATAAAACTAGGCATATGTTGAATCTTAATCTTTTCTCACAAGTCAGGTTTTTCTAAACCTTTTATCATAGTGCTCTGTACAATGGGACTGGGTATAGTTACCCTACAGTGCACCACAAAATGCCATCTGCCCTCATCAAAGTGGGAAGGAGCACTTCGGAAGCCCAATAAACATCACCTTGGCTGGCTTTGTTTGTACATGTCTGTGTTTTATTTCTTGTTTTGTTTGAAATGCCCTGTACCACAAGAATACAATTTATTTATTTAACAGCTTTTAAGGAGCAGATAATAGTTGAATAAAATAGATACTGTTTATTGCACTGACTATAACTCCCTGCATCATTCTCTCAGCCGCTCTCTCTGCCTTCCCCGTTTAACCCAGCCACAGAAACAGGGTGGCCTTTGACTATGTGTCTGGTTGTAACTTGGATACATGGTGGAAGCGCTTTCTCAGCTCAACCAGTTACATTTTAGGGCTTTTCTCAGTGACTTTTTCCCTTAAATAGTTGCTTACATATTTCTGGTGCAGCATGATTGTAAAATATGTTTGCAATAGTTCAAAGATGTATGCAGTCAGGTTAATGAGAGAGAATAATGCCCCCTATTTGGCATGAACTATACTGCTAGGTTGTGGTTCAGCATTTCTTCCGTAGTGTCACAGTTTCACTGTAAGGTAATGCCCATGTTTGCCCTAAAACATAGTTCCATGCATGTTTTACCATTTATCTGAATTGATCCCTGTGAAATTTGTTTGCACCAGAGGCCAGAGACAAATTTCCCAAGAGGAATGTGACTAAGAGGTGTATCCCCTTTTGATTAGCACTGCCTTTTATAGCAGCTGGCAGCAAGTGAATTTATTGTATCTGTGTATGCAGGCTTCACTGTGGGTGGTACGGTAGTGAAAGAGAGCAGTGTGATGTAGCCCCCATTAGTGTGAATGAACAGTGGACTCAGCTTCATGCTTATGCAAACTCATTGAGGCACGTACCTCTGTGTCATGGTTACTAAACTAATCTCAGGTGTTTAGTAACCATGGCTGGATTCCAGCATCTCTTACACTCTGTGAAGTTACACTACTACAAGACTAGGTCAGTGACTCTTACACTAGGCATGAATTCCCTACAGGGCTCCCAGGGAATCTGTCCTAAAACCTCTTTCTTGTTTAACGGCTCCGTAGTCCCATCCCTGACTCTGTGAGAGACACTGCCTAGTGTACACTAGCCTAAGGAGTCCCTGCAGCCGCATGGTCCCTCTCTGTGTGAGAGGGCTGCAGTGTGACACACACACAGACTCAAACTCCACTGTCTCACCGGTCCCTCTCTGTGTGAGAGGGCTGCAGTGTGACACAGACTCAAACTCCACTGTCTCACGCTCCTCAGCCCCATAATCTCAAAGTAGCTGCTCTCATGGTGCTATCTTGGCTAGCCAGTGTAAGCCTGGGTGTAGGCCCTGGCCTTGTTTCCTAGTTACAGGATGTGTGTGTATGTGGGGGTGCTGTTTGGGTTTGTTCTAGGCCTCTGATCCCTTTGAATTTCCTGGGGAGAGTTCACACTCCAGGCAAAGAGAGTCGTTACTACACTGATTGGTTTTCCAGCCCGCTGTGGTGCTTCTATGGCTTGGTCCCAGGTTTGTCAGCTGAGCGTGATGGGGGTGAGGCGAGCTGTTAGGCGCAAGGGTTATGCAGATAAAATGGAGAAACAGCTCTGCAGCTGTCTTGGGGCAGAGTGCATGCATCCAACCTGCTTCAGGCTCTATATCCTCCGGTAGCATGTTGAGGAGAGGGGCGAAGGGCGAGCATGTTCAAAAGCCTTCCACTCCCCTGTCCCTACAAGAATAACTGCTTCTGGAGGCCTTTACAACCTGGTCTGCAAAAGGGAACTTTGCACAGAAAAGAGACATGGCCATGCTCCCTCAGAACACAGGTCAGTGCAGCTGCCTGTGGAGCTCTGGGTGGAAGTGACTCCAAGGGGTAGGCCTCAGTGCTGGGGAGAGCCCATCCTAGTTTGTGTAAAATTATCTGGGGCCGCACAGCCGGAAACAGTACAGCTGTACTCCGGGATGGCTACAGGCCGACAACACACATTTCCATCTCCCCCTGTGTTGTGAAGCATGATGTAGATGTTTGACACAATCTAAGTCTCTGTCTCCAGGCAGCTGATGATCAGCAGCACAAGGCCACTGTCCATTCTTGGCCTTGAAGAAACAGTCAAGTGGCTGTTGGTTCTGTCACCTAAAACTTTTATGGGCTTACTCTAGCTGCTGTTTAACGTGGTTGATCCAGTGAGGGAGTGAGCATAGCACTGGCAAAAGTCGTTTGAATGACAGCCCTGGACAATGTCTTCTGCTCTCATGGAGATCAAACTCCAATATACTGTCTGCTAACGTACCTCATCTTTGCTTCATAGCAGGTCCTACATCGAGGGGAGGGAACCTGTGCCATCAGGTCATAGCCTTTCTCCTGGGACTGTCAGCAAGGGGTCAGTCAGATCATGCTCATAGTTTTAGGATGCACAAATCACCCCCATCTCAAGCCACTGATCTGGCACCAGAAGATAATTTTCATGCAGCGCACTGTCATTTTGGAATGGAAATCTGTCAGGTGGGCTTTGAACAAATGCCTGGAAGGTACAGTCACTGAATCTCCTTCCCTGATTTCTTTCTGGCTAATGGAGTTGATATTTCTCCCATAGAAAGCAACTCTAGAAAACTGGTTAGAGGAGGGGAGGACAACTCTTAGGAGACAGGCACAAACCTTCCCCATGCAAGTTTTCTAAAAAGAAGTATTTTCTTTTGGCACCAGCTCCATGAGGCTTCACTAGGCCATAGAGCAGTCTGAGATTGGTGGTTGCTTATTTTTTGGGGGGGAGGGAAGGGGACATGGCTAACAATGTGAGACTCAGGAATTTTATTGTGTTTTAAGATAGCACTAACTAGCAGCTTCCCAGGTCGGGGAGGGAAGGGGACATGGCTAACAATATGTGAGACTCAGGAATTAAATGACTTTATTGTGTTTTAAGATGGCACTAACTAGCAGCTTCCCAGGTGTGTGGTATGTAATTTTTTTTAAAGGACAATGCTCTTTGTTCCAACTGGAGTTAAGTCCAAGCTTCTATGGAGGCAAACATCCATTCTATCCAAAATGGATGGACCATGCCCCTGGTTGTGAGAGGGGGGTATTTACATTTGGGCCCAGTTATTGCAGACAGATATTTGTCATGTGTGGGAGGGGAGGGCTATTTTCTGAGTTGATGAGGCAGATTTGATCATTGCATGGTAGAAATGGAGAGATTTTAATTAGCACCATGTGTGAGGATGCAGAGACTATCACATGAATCCAGCACCAGAGCAAAATGTCAGGCTCATTTCCTGGAGAGAGGGGACTCACATTTTCTGAGACAAAGCCTCCCACCTGACTAGCCCACGGGAATGGGGGACTGCCCGGGGAGCGGAATAGCCAGGCGTAATGACACACTGTACAAGATTGCCAAATATCTTACATGGGCAGGGGCATCTTTCCCAACAGGAAGTGGGACCTCTATGTACATGTGTTATGTGTAGCTAGGGGAGTGCAGGAGGCAACCACCTTGGAGTGAAGAGGTGCCATGAGGCTCTTTTCTAAATAAGCACATACCCCAGGGGCCTGTGAGCTGGAGACAAACAGCAGGAGCCACCCTCTCTGCCTCCCCTCACAACACCACCAGCTGAAGGTTATTGACTCTTTTCTTCCTCATGTCCTGCCCCTCTCCAGAGTTGGTGGAGGGAGCTGTGGAACAGGCTGCCTTGGATACAGCAGTGAGCATAGCTGTTCAGGGACCCACATTCCCTCCAGCCCCCTCTGCAAGTGCACGAGCACGCTCTGGTACTTCCTACAGAGAAAACAAAAACAGAGAAACAGGTGACTGATTAAAAGAGTTTCCCCCTCTGTACATGAGATTCTGCAGACAAGCAGGCCGACAGCTGGACGTTAAATAATTCTTCCATAATAAATGATTGGAGATAAAAGCCGGCCCCTGCTGCTGAATTGCTCTGTGTCTGCGCCTTTGTTTCTAGTTTGTTCCCCGGCGGCTGCGGGCTGGCACTGGGGCCGTCAGACCTTGGCCTCTAGCATTTCTAGGAAGAGTTTGTGCATGGGGACCTTGCCCTGCAGTTTGATGCTGTAGAAGTGCTGCACAGCTTTAGCGGCTGTCTGCCGCAGGAGGGGCAAGGTCAGCAGCAGTTTGCCCGCCCGCCGTGGCTCCTCGTGGCGCTGACTCAGCTCGTAGTCCTGCAGGGCTTCATGGAGCAGGTCCTGGAGTTTCTGCACTGCCTCCATGTCCTCTATGTGCATGGAATCTGAGGGAGGGGAGAAGGATAGCAGTCACCAAGCAGAAAAGGAGCTGACACTAGGATTTGTCAATACTGTGGCTTCTGGAAAATTGCTTCTGTTTAGGAAGCACCGGCCCCTGTGAGAAGGGCTGGCAGGGCTGTCGTTGGAAGCAACACCAGCATGGCTCTCTGTGCCAGGTTTTGTGGGGATCTGGTAGTGGCAGCTAGGGGACAGGAGGGCTCTGAAGAGAGGGCTGGTGACTTGCAGGCAGGCTAGAGAGCTGTGCAAGAATGACACTGGCTTGAGTTAGGCTGGCTACTTGGCTATTCCCAGGCCTCCCAGCTCTCCATGTTCCTCAGGGGGAGTGATGTGAACAGTGAAGGGCTGCTGCTGCGCCATCCATCAGGAGTGATCTCAGTAGGTATAATTAACATTGCCACATAGCTTCATCAGTATGCACTAATTGCTGTGCAGCTGCCTGGAGTGGCAGTGAGATGGACCCACTAGGTCCCAGGCAGACTGACCCTGGCAGCGTGTGGAGGGTTGCGACCCACGGTGCCTTAAGTAGCCTTTGTCTGCAGTTTGAGAAGAGCCACAGCTGCTCAGGACGTTTTCGACGCTTGTTTTTTTCATGGTCATTTGCTCTCCGCCCACTAGATTGAGGGCTCTGGGCAAGGCTGCTGCACACAGGCCATTCACCTTGCTCTTAAGAATCTCTCAGGACGTTTCAGCAGGGGGCGACACACAGCAACTGGGTGCAAGAGCTGCCCTGCTGCTGAATGAAAAGACAAGGCCAAACAAGAGGTTGGAGCAGTGGCAGCCAGGCACTGGGCAACTCCCACAGATGGGCCTGTAGTGCTGGAGGAGGGTGAGGGCAGTTTCTGGAGCTGTCACAGGGTACCAGTGTATATGAGTGGCTGTGGCCATCACATGGGTACCACTGGTGCTGTAGCTTGGTGGGAGTAGAGCCATGGTGTCAACATGCTGAGTGTGGCTAGTTTGCTATAGCAGCAGCAGCTATCCCGCTATCATGGCTACTGCTTCAGACCTGACTGGCGACCATGGGAGTAGAGCTTTTTCTTGTCAGTGTGGAACTTACACGCTTCCTGGCTATGTCTAGACTGGCAAGTTTTTCCGCAAAATCATCTGCTTTTGCGGAAAAACTTGCCAGCTGTCTACACTGGCCACTTGAATTTCCGGAAAAGCACTGACAATCTCATGTAAAATCATCAGTGTTTTTCCGGAAAAACTATGCTACCCCTGTTCGGGCAAAAGTCTTTTTCCGAAAGACTTGCGCAAAAGGGCCAGGGTAGACAGCATAGTACTGTTTTCCGCAAAAAAGCCCCAATCGTGAAAAAGGCGATCGGTCTAGATTGGCCACGGACGCTTTTCCGCAAAAAGTGCTTTTGCGGAAAAGCATCCTGCCAATCTAGATGCGCTTTTCCGAAAATGCTTTTAACGGAAAACTTTTCTGTTAAAAGCATTTTTGGAAATTCATGCCAGTGTAGACATAGCCCCTGAGTGGGCTCACCCAGCACAGGACATGGTGGAGCAGAGGGTCACGGAGCAGCGGAAGTGTGGCTTTTAACCAGCCAAAAAAATCTAAAACCCCTTATCCCTTCTCCACAGAGGCTTTCTTGTTCCACCCTGTTTGCTGAGCAGTGTGACTGGCGTGGCTGCATGGGCGAGCTGAGGCACATGGGCAGGTGCCAACAGCTCACCTTTGAGGTGAGTGGCTAGCAGTTGTACTCTGCCAATGTCCACGTGCTTTACAGATCAACATCAAACCCCACTAAGATGGAGGTGTATTACAAATGGGGAAATTGAGGCACAGAGCAGCTGAGTAACTTATCCGAAAGGTACAAAGAGCCAGCTTCCAATGAGCAAACCAGATCTGACTTATCACTGGCTCCTTGCAGGAGCTCGTGCGCTGTGTGTTCCTTCCCTTAAGGGTAGTGGGATCGAATCGGGTGGTAGTATGCAACTTGCTTTGCTTTATAAACCTGATGCTCTTAGAGTGGTGCTGTTGTATGACAGGTGAATCAGTGTAACTGTGCTGCTTTTTTCGCATCTGATGTCTATAGGCTGAAGGGCCCTAAAAGCAGTGAATTTCCTATTTTTTTTTCTCTGAGTGTTTGTTTTATAAAGTCCCAGCCACATCCCACACCTGGTTTACCTATTGCCCCTCTCTATACTGAGAAGAGCCCCAATTCTGCCATGGCCTGCAAAAAAATAAAGCAATATAACAGGATTAATTTCCCAGCAATCCATCAGCAAGCCAGTGTTGATTGCATTGATAAACTGTTAATTACAAAAATCAATGGCTATGAATTTTTACAGCCCCCAGAACACCTAGGAGGAGGGAGTCTGCCAGGCTGAGGGACATACAGCATGTCTGTGGATTCCCTCTTAACCTGTACGTTCAGCAAGAGCCATGCTGCACTTCTCCACAGCTCTGTGGCTGGGGGATAGGGTGCATGTGTGATAATGAACAGCCAGTCGATGACATTTCTGCAGCGGGGCCTGTTGCTACCCCAACAACAGGGCTACGTCTAGACTGGCCCCTTCTCCGGAAGAGGCATGCAAAGCAGGCAAGTCAGAATAGGGAAATCCGCGGGGGATTTAAATATCCCCCGCGGGATTTAAATAAACATGGCCGCCGCTTTTTTTCCAGCTTGGGGAAAAGCCGGAAAAGAGCGCCTAGACTGGCGCGATCCTCCGGAATAAAGCCCTTTTCCGGAGGATCTCTTATTCCTACTTGCAAGTCTAGATGTAGCCCAGATGTTTAGTTCAAGCAGGCAGCCTGGGGCCCTGTAGGAGCAGGGGTGTCTATGTTCCACCATGCCAGGATTTGCTGCACAGTTCATCCCTTGCCGCAGAACTGTGCTCAAATCACTTCAGCTGGGGCAGCTGCGAGAAGTAAAGGGTAAGACTACAGCCAGGACGAGATGCCCTTAACTAAATAGGGGTTGGGCTACATGACAAGGAGCCCCTTGGCAGTGGAATTTAAATGAATCTGCCCCTCTGTTTTTTTTTTGCCCTTCCTCTGAAAGGCTGACACCGTAGCACACGCAGCACAGTGTAACAGGGTAATCGCAGATTCAGGATCTGATTGCTGCCTGAGTGTTTAGCATGAAGTATTGGGAAGTGGTGGTGATCACTGCTCTTTATCTGTTGTTGTCCAATAAAATACCCTCATTCTGTTCAATAGTCCTATTCAGCAGCTCCTGGAAGCATCACACACAGAGAGCGTCAGTGATATGCCAAGGTTCTAGCAACACAGTTTCCTCCCACAATTTTTGCTAGTAGCAGTTGCAGATAGGCCACCTGCCACTGTAGGAAAATTCATGATACCACCTCTTCAGCAGTGAAGCAGCTTCAGTCTTGAAGCTAATTAGTTAGGTTTTTTGTCCCCACTGCTCCCCTTGAAGGCTGTTCTAGAACTTCACTCCTCCTATGGTTAGAAACTTTCACCTACTTACAAGTCTAAAATCATTGATGGCCAGTTTATATCCATTTGTTCTTGTGTCAGTAATGGTGCTTAACATAGCTAACGCCTCTCCATTATTTATAGAGCACAATCATAGCTCCCCTAGGCCTTTGGTAGTTAGGCACAAGTCAAAGCTCCTTGACTCATCACTCTGCTCATCCCAGTACCTGTGTCTGCACCTGTTTCAGTGTGCATTTTTCTTTCTTAAACATGGGAAACCAGCACTGCACATCGTGTTCCACATGAGGTCTCACTAGTGCCTTGAATAACGGCAAGAACGTGTTCCTCTCTTTGCTGGAAATACCTCGCCTGATGCATTCTAGGACTGCATTAGCCTCTTTTATGGCTGCATTGCATTGGTGGCTTATAGTCGTCCTGTGGTCTGTCTCCCCCTCTGTTGCTTCTAACTGATATGTCTTCAGCTTACAGAAAATATTCTTATTAGTCTGTACATGCATGACACTGCATTTGCCTCTGTTACATTTCATCCCATTGCTATTACTCCAGTTTTCAACATTCGACATCTCATATGCTATTCTGATCCTTCTCCATATTGGCCATACCTCCCAGTTTTGTGTCATCCATATACTTTATTAGCACATGCCCACTTTTTGTGGCAAGGTCATTAAGGCAAATGTTAAATAAAATTGGTCTCAAGACCAGTCTCTGAGGAACTCCACTAGCAACCACCCTCCAGGCTAACAGTTCATCTTTCAGTAAGACTCACTGTAGGTGCCCCTTTAAACAGTTCTTTAGCCATCTTTCAGTTCCCTCATTAACTGCCATCTTGTTCAAGCTAACTAATAATTTCCCATGTGGAACTGTATCAAACACCATACAGAAATCCAGGTAAATTAGTGCTACTGCATTTCTTTTTGCCTAAAAAAATCAGTTATTTTCTCAAAGAAGATCATGCTAGATGAACCTGATCTAACTTTGTAAAATTATGTTGCATTTTATCTTGATAATTACCATGATTGCTGAGGAAGGATAGACAGGGAAAAAAGGGAGGAGGTTTTGCCTTATATATTAAAAACTTGGAGTGAGGTGGAGATGGACATAGGAGACGGAAGTGTTGAGCGTCTTTGGGTTAGGCCAGTGGTCCCCAACCATTGGAGGTTGCTGGGGGCCCGGGGGCGTGGCCATTCGCCCGCTGGGCGTCAGAGGGCGGGGATACTTGTGCACCCAGGGGCGGGGCCCCCCCATAGCCTTGCACCCGGGGCCGGCGCCCCCTCCCAAATGCCTCCTGCCCCGGGCCGGCGCTACCCCCCC